AGGAAAAACTTCATTAGAGAACTACACAATAAAAACACGGTTACAATTATCTCCGTGCATCTTATTAGATTCATATAGTGCTTATGGAATAAAACAGTGTCCGCTCATGCTACAGATAGATTATTGTACACTGAGCACATGTGTTTCTACAAGCATGAAATCATCACAGCACAATACTCACTTCTAAATGGAAAAGAACATCTGATCAGCTGCAAACTCAAAGGCTGATTCCCAGGAGTTGTCCGTTCCAGCCCCGTGCCAGCACCGTACAGGCGCAATGCCGGGACGTCGATCGTTCTTACATAGCAAGAGATGGAGATGGGTTTCCACCACTATACATGCTAGCACGGTGCTAGAACGGCGCTGGCACAGCCCCATCACAAGCGCAACTTTGGACGTATAAACGACATGTGTTGAAATTTTAAAAAGACCCGTTTGAAGACAACGTCAAACCTAAATTGAGGAGCTTTGACCGTGCCATTGCCCATCCGGCTGCTCATATATTATATTATATTATATTTATTGCACAGGAAGTGCGCCTTTACAAATCGTAGAACACAATTAATACTCATTCAAAGAGCAACAAAGAAATAGACATAGGACAGAAACCTGAAATGATTATTTTTGGAAGAAGGAAAAATGTTCTCAGATAACAGTCGTACTCAGTTTTGAAAGTCAGTCTGACACTACCACACCAATGTGACATGACATCGGAATTATAGTATGTAAATTTGACTACTTTGACTAATGTTTTCTTTTCTGACTTTGGATACCATGTATAAATCAAGCATAATCACTTTCGCTTTATCTCACTTGTTTGATCAGTTTAGATAAGCAAGGGGTGAGGCAAGGCGAATGGGCTAAACCATGCGTGCCTTGACAAAATTTCACTGGGCTCACCCTGTGTACCTTATTTTATAAGGCATTACATTTAAAACGTTTGATTTGTATGCATTACTCATTACGATTCTCAACCAGAATTTGAAGTAAGGGAGGGGGTGAGACAAGGCGAATGGGCTAAACCATGCGTACCTTGGTTAATCACTGAGCTCACCCCAGTTAATACATCAACACCAAGAACGACTCAGTAGTAGTCAAGTTTCTGCTATAATTAATGTGGCAAAAAAAGTTAGGTAGAATCAAACTGTTTGGAAATTGACTGAACAAGTAATATGTTTTCTATAGTGTCTCAGTCTTCCAGCAGTGAAACAAATTAGGATAAGCTATTTGGACATTATGGATTATGTGTCGTGTAGATTACACAGAGGCCATTGTTTTGAGGATTGCGTGTAGTCGAACGTTTTCGAGGAAAGGACCAGATATTGTGTGAGAAATAGCAAATTTGTTGATCCTAAAAATCATGAATTTTCAAAATGCGAAGCAGATCAATATCATTGAGTTTCTCACGGAAAATTCTGGAATTTTTGCTGTTCATTAATTCTAATGGTAATAAGGAAAACCATCTAGAAACGCGGCAAACAAAAGAGTTGAACATTATAGAAAGTCTTTTGTTTCCTAGTTTACGGTAACGCAAATCAAACCTACCTGTGCGTCGACTACAGGGTCTAAAATACCAGTATTTACTTGCCTTCAACTTAGTTTCCAAACGTAAAATTTGAAAACCAAGGACTAGATCGCTAATGACACGCCTGTGTTTCAAACTCTGAAGTCTTAATTTTTCTAAACGACATCGATAAGAAGGTAATGATTTTGGATAATCAGGATCTGAGTAGCATCTATAGAAAAGTATTCTCGTAAAAGTTTTTTTGGATCTTTTCAACTTTTTCGATATTCTTTTTTATGTAGGGACTCTAAGGAGAGGCATATTCAACGAGTGGTAAGACGTAACTTTTGTATAAAGCTAGAAAAAGCAGTGGTATCAACGCAGAGTACTTTCTCAGGATAGTAAAGAGAACAGAATACGATTTTTTTAAGACTAAATCAAGGTGCGAGGAAAATGTAAGCGATTTATCAATCATTACATCAAGATCTCTCACAAGATTGTTATTGTTCATGTAGTTATGAAAAAACTCAAATCCATGGTTTCAGCTACATATGATGGCATTGCACAAATTGTATACAGAAACTGTGCTGATTCTCTTTGTGTTCCTCTTTTATACATTTATAATGTATCTCTAACCCTGGGCTTAGTACCCCATATCTGGAAAGAAGCCCTTGTAACACCTATTCCTAAGAAAGAACGCAGTGATTCAGTGGCAGATCATCGACCCATTAGCATAATGTCATCGGCTGGTAAGATTCTAGAAAGGATACTGCAGCGTAAACTTTACGAATGGTTCGAAGAAAATCATATATTACCAAACGAACAGCATGGTTTTCTTCCTGGATGTTCAACTACGACCTTACTTTCTGACTCTGTCTTTGACTGGACAACTGCACTCAATCATGGCAAATCAATTGACATTATCTATTTTGATCTTTCTAAAGCATTTGATAAAGTGAATCATGAAAAACTCGTAGCGAAACTTGAAAACTACGGTATTCGAGGACCTGTTCTCTCTTGGTTATCATCATACCTCCACGAAAGAGGAATCACTGTTCGTGTTGGATTCAACTATTCCAATCGATACCATTGCAGTAGCGGCGTACACAAGGTGGTATTCTTTCGCCTCTCTTATTTTTGATCTATGTTGCCGAATTACCCGCTTATTTAAAAACCCATCCGGAACTCAAAATCCAAATGTTTGCCGATGATATTAAGATTTACTTTTGTTATGAACAAACTCAGCAAGCCGTGGCTTTCAAAGCACTTTCGTCTTCAATTCACAAAATGGCTTTATGGTCTGTAGACTGGAACCTTCCGGTAAATCCGGCAAAGACTACAGTAATGCATCTCGATGACTCTCCTTGTTGCACGTACTACTACAATGATACTGAGCTCAAAACGTCGAACCTTGTAAGAGATCTTGGCGTAATGATTGATAAATCGCTTACATTTTCCTCGCACCTTGATTTAGTCTTAAAAAAATCGTATTCTGTTCTCTTTACTATCCTGAGAAGCATCCATAGCAAAGATTCTGATGTTTTTCTAACTTTATACAAAAGTTACGTCTTACCACTCGTTGAATATGCCTCTCCTTAGAGTCCCTACATAAAAAAGAATATCGAAAAAGTTGAAAAGATCCAAAAAAACTTTTACGAGAATACTTTTCTATAGATGCTACTCAGATCCTGATTATCCAAAATCATTACCTTCTTATCGATGTCGTTTAGAAAAATTAAGACTTCAGAGTTTGAAACACAGGCGTGTCATTAGCGATCTAGTCCTTGGTTTTCAAATTTTACGTTTGGAAACTAAGTTGAAGGCAAGTAAGTACTGGTATTTTAGACCCTGTAGTCGACGCACAGGTAGGTTTGATTTGCGTTACCGTAAACTAGGAAACAAAAGACTTTCTATAATGTTCAACTCTTTTGTTTGCCGCGTTTCTAGATGGTTTTCCTTATTACCATTAGAATTAATGAACAGCAAAAATTCCAGAATTTTCCGTGAGAAACTCAATGATATTGATCTGCTTCGCATTTTGAAAATTCATGATTTTTAGGATCAACAAATTTGCTATTTCTCACACAATATCTGGTCCTTTCCTCGAAAACGTTCGACTACACGCAATCCTCAAAACAATGGCCTCTGTGTAATCTACACGACACATAATCCATAATGTCCAAATAGCTTATCCTAATTTGTTTCACTGCTGGAAGACTGAGACACTATAGAAAACATATTACTTGTTCAGTCAATTTCCAAACAGTTTGATTCTACCTAACTTTTTTTGCCACATTAATTATAGCAGAAACTTGACTACTACTGAGTCGTTCTTGGTGTTGATGTATTAACTGGGGTGAGCTCAGTGATTAACCAAGGTACGCATGGTTTAGCCCATTCGCCTTGTCTCACCCCCTCCCTTACTTCAAATTCTGGTTGAGAATCGTAATGAGTAATGCATACAAATCAAACGTTTTAAATGTAATGCCTTATAAAATAAGGTACACAGGGTGAGCCCAGTGAAATTTTGTCAAGGCACGCATGGTTTAGCCCATTCGCCTTGCCTCACCCCTTGCTTATCTAAACTGATCAAACAAGTGAGATAAAGCGAAAGTGATTATGCTTGATTTATACATGGTATCCAAAGTCAGAAAAGAAAACATTAGTCAAAGTAGTCAAATTTACATACTATAATTCCGATGTCATGTCACATTGGTGTGGTAGTGTCAGACTGACTTTCAAAACTGAGTACGACTGTTATCTGAGAACATTTTTCCTTCTTCCAAAAATAATCATTTCAGGTTTCTGTCCTATGTCTATTTCTTTGTTGCTCTTTGAATGAGTATTAATTGTGTTCTACGACTTGTAAAGGCGCACTTCCTGTGCAATAAATATAATATAATATAATATATGAGCAGCCGGATGGGCAATGGCACGGTCAAAGCTCCTCAATTTAGGTTTGACGTTGTCTTCAAACGGGTCTCTTTAAAATTTCAACACATGTCGTTTATACGTCCAAAGTTGCGCTTGTGATGGGGCTGTGCCAGCGCCGTTCTAGCACCGTGCTAGCATGTATAGTGGTGGAAACCCATCTCCATCTCTTGCTATGTAAGAACGATCGACGTCCCGGCATTGCGCCTGTACGGTGCTGGCACGGGGCTGGAACGGACAACTCCTGGGAATCAGCCTTCGAGTTTGCAGCTGATCAGATGTTCTTTTCCATTTAGAAGTGAGTATTGTGCTGTGATGATTTCATGCTTGTAGAAACACATGTGCTCAGTGTACAATAATCTATCTGTAGCATGAGCGGACACTGTTTTTATTCCATAAGCACTATATGAATCTAATAAGATGCACGGAGATAATTGTAACCGTGTTTTTATTGTGTAGTTCTCTAATGAAGTTTTTCCTCAAATGACTATGCAGAACTGGGCAGTAATTAACGATGCACTCGAAGTCGAAAGCAGTGTGCAATTTGGGGGGGGGGGGGGGAGAGAAGAGTTCAGATTATCACTATATAATCACACGTATGTATGCACCATGCAAGGCTATTTGCAGTATTCTCAAACGAAAAATGAGCTCTACAGGGTGGGGTTCACACAACAAACGAAAGGCACATCAGATACAAGTGTGTAAACAACTACAAATGAAGAGAAAATGACTAGTTCCGGACTGATGATTGCACAGCTGGGGGAGGCTAGAATCGTTGTAAGCGCCCCCTTACACGATCGTGGTGGTCTCTACACTAGTCGAGGTGTCATTCGTGAGGTACGAGCAGGTTGAGATCGAAGAAAGTGACGCCTCGTACCGATACGAGCGTTGGTACATCTCGCAAGAGACCGCACGATGAACCTGAAACGTGCTGACATCAGAGACTCGTCGGCAAACGTTGCAGTGTGAGGTAAAGGCTAGTTCCGCATGAAGGCGAATGGAGCTTTCAAACACGAAAGAACGCGGCGGTCGAGCTCCTCGCTGGCAGCCGCTTGCGCCGCGTTCGCGAGCGCTTTCCTCATATAGACATCTGCCTTCGTCCTGGACTACTCTTTACAATGCTCGACTACTGACGCTCAGTGAAAGTGAAAACGGACTTTTGCAAGCTCTCAGAAAGCTCTCTAACATATATGGCGACTATAATCGAAGCAAAAACGCGATGGCACTAGCTTGAAAATGGAAAGCTCAAATGGCGAATTACTGACAAATAAATCTGAGAGTGCTGCATTTTTACCTAACTGAAAAAGATGTGAGAACTGCAACAGCAAGTGAAGTTAACAATACACTGCACTAAAATCGCGATAGTTATGTAAAACCCTATAGATGTTCTATGCGAAAAGGATATCAAATGACGAAGGGCTGTAGGAATGTATGGAACTGCTTCTGCTAGACTCTATACGTTAGATTTGTCGACAATGTCTCATTACAAACGCTCACAAAATTTTACAAAAGGTCTTTGACGCTAAAAGAGTTTTTTCGCACTGCTCATCACCAGACAAAATGGTGGAAGTAATTTCTTTGAGTTACGAGAGATTTTCATGCTTAACAAAAAATTAAGTTTGCGAAAAACACTGCCTAAATTGGTACAGGTGTACGATTATTCTGAATGTAATCGGACAGATCTTACAAGGGAAGGATACTTGGTCACGGCGGCCATTCATAATGAATTGTATATCAAAAAATGCGCTTTTAATGCTAGCTCAGTACTGTCTTCCTTATCTGCGATGATCTGGATGGAGTTATGACTATTTTTCCATGAATAAACTGCGTGAGTGCGGAGGGTCAAAATCATCAATAAAAATTTTCTTTCCTTTTCAAATGCCGAATATGATTTAGGCAGGTTCAATACAACAGTATTCCTTTTAAGATTCTCTTCAATAGCTTCGAATGGTAATTTAGAACAAATTTGGTTATTTTAACACAAAAGTACGCAAATTTTCTACGAAAAATTCGCAGTTATCGAGCACAGATTTGGAATCAGCGTTTTTGGTGCATCTTAAAGTAAACATCGCATTCCAAATGGCCACGGTGACAGAGTATCCTTTCCTTGTTAGAGCACCTCAGTTCCAAAAGATTACTAAAACGGGCTCCCGATGCAAACCATAGAACTTTGCAACACATTGGCGCTCCAGAAGTTCGGACGTACCCGCGATTTGATTCCACCTCGTTCCCACCAAAGCAGGAAATCATACCGTGACATGGCCGTCGCCTGATTTCCTGCTTTGTGAAGACGAAACTGAATCAAGGGGCGACTATGTTCAAACCTCTGAAAAATTTCCCGCTTTAGAAGCAATACTTTGCAGTCGCAATCGGGCTATGGCTCGCTTCAGTAATGCGTTGGGAATGAGGTGCTCCCACGTCTGCCCAGACACTGCCTTTGCAGTCCATTAACAGACTTTAAAATAATAGAGCGGTCTTTTTTAATAGTAGATACAGCCGAGTACATTCTACGCTCGAAGTAGTGTGCTTGTGGTACCAAGATCTCGCGGTAAAACTGGAGTATGAACAAATAGCCACGCCAGTAATGCCGGTATCTTGCGCGCAAGCTGTCGGCAGTACAAGCGCATTTGTTCACGCACAATTCTATATTAAGCAAAGAATCTACCACAATGTACAATGCTTCTAACGGGTTCTGCGCCGCATAGTGCAATGTATACTTTGGACCGAAGCGAATGATCATTCGATTATTCGAATAAATCATTCGAATACGAATGATTCGAAAATTCGAATCTTCGAAAATCTGAGATTTCGAATAATATTCGATAGTCGAATATTCGAAGATTTTCATTTTCGAATATTATTCGAAAGTCGAATATTCGAAATTCTCAACTTTCGAATATTATTCGATAGTCGAATATTCGATGGTTATTAATTCGATCATTCAATGTCCACGGAATATTCGAATATTCGATGAGCACCGAATATTCGAAAATTCGATAAGAATTGACTATTCGAAAATTTGAAGCGTCGAATATTCGGAAATTCGATACCCACAACATATACGACGTGTCCCAAAAGTATCTACAAACTGTCAATCGCTAATACCTCTCACGGTCTTTTGCCAACCTTCAAGTAACATCCTGTAGGGATGGCTTCACCTTACAAATGCAGCAGAAAGCAAATCACCTATGTTGTCCTTGTTGTGTTATCACGGTATGAACTTTCCAGCATATAGAGCAACTGCGAAATGAGACAGCCAAAAGAATTTCTCCAACAAAAAAAAAAAGAGATTTGAAACCCATGTAGCAGGTTTTTACGTATGTTTAACTACGCACGGGCTTTCAAACCTTTTGAATGTGCATTCTCAGTTTTGAAAAGCGTTGGAAAACATCTGTTACGGTGTACCTGGCATAAGTTGCAAAAGGCGTTACTGTTGAGTGCAAATTCTTTAGATAGTGAGTGTCTTAGAAGCCTAGTATAAAATCGGCCTTTCTATTTCTCATTCTTGAGCAAACGGCTCTTGATATCTCAGAGCCTTCCTCGGTTTTCCTACGGTAATTTACAACAGTGAAAAGCGATCGATAAATCGCTTCAGACTGTAAGTATAGGTTGATGTCAGCCCGATCCACATACTGCTGGGACCCCTGTTATGTCAGTCCACAACTCTCATGAGGATAAATAATCTTCTTTGAAGATTGAAATTCCTTCTTGTCACAGGAGTACGCTTTTAGGTTCTCAAGGCAGCGTCCCAAAAGATGGGTCCGGGATTTTGTAGCGATGTTAATAGAACCCCTACCTAAGCGGTGACTGAAGTTCGGAGCGAAAAAGAGGGTCTGGTAAGCCTGAAAATTGCTCCCAAAGTAGTCCATCTTACGGGTCCGAATGCCGCCCGTACAGCGAATTCGAACTGCAAGGCAGAGAACGCATAGCGCACACAGTCATGAGTGCAGTGTCCCGCAACGACTCTGCGTCTCTACCTTGCATGCATCTCGTACTCACGAGCCTACCGTAAGATCCGGGCCACTTTCGGGGCTTCAGGCTTGGTAGCCCCCTTTTTCGCTCCGAACATCAGTCATGGCTTAGGTAGGGGGACTACTTTAACATCGACACAAAACCCGGCACCCATCTTTTTGTCGGGCTGCCTTCTCTTCACGTCATCACTGAACCGTCTTTTCGTCGTAAATTGAAACATAAAAAAATGTCTATTCCTGATACTTACCAAAAGAATTTATTCTTAGATGTTTTGGTCCATCACAGGTAGTCTCACTGACATAGTTTATTCGGATAGTATTCGAAAATCGAATGATATTCGAAAATCGATCATCATTCGCGAACCGAATAATATTCGAAATTCGAATATCGAATGATATTCGATATTCGAATATTATTCGATTCGAAAACTTCCATTTTCGAATATTATTCGATAGTCGAATATTCGAAATTTTCGATTTTCGAATAAAATTCGATAGTCGAATATTCGAAGTTTTGTTTTCGAATAATATTCAATAGTCGAATATTCGAAAATTTTGATTTTCGAATATTATTCGATATTCGAATATTCGAGAAAAATTTCGAATTTCCCGAAGTATAGTGCAATGACACATATATCCGAGAGCGCTACCGTCGCGCAGCGTGCAGGGACCATGCTGTGCACAGCACCGCAGACCTTTTTATCATTGTATCTCGTAATTTTCCGTTTTTGTAGCAGCAAATTGTTTTTTTTGCTTCTATGCTCATATGCAATCTGCCTTGATACCGAATACCATTTTTCGCTGCAGAGGAAGGATGTATCAAATCTTTGGGCGTTTTTCCTCATGACATCTTTCATCTCATAAAGGCTTGTTTGGATGGCTGATTTCAAATGTCATTATCCATTATATCGCTGCTCGCGTTTCATCAAACATATTCGTATATCACCTCGGCTTATGTGAACTGCGCCAACGTGCTGCTCACTCAAACTGTTTTCTTAACCTACACGATATACGATTACACCTTACGATATTCACCTTTATCTGAAAGGAGAGAGAGAACCGGTCGTTGTGAGTTCTTAGATGAAATGATTACATTAAATCTTCTTTGAAAGATTCCGTAGCCGACGTTACCGTAAATTACGGTCCGTAATGTGTTACCCGATGATCCTGTACTGATGTTTTGTACGTTTCCGCAACCCAGTTCGCAAAACAGTGTTTTTGTCTTGTTCGCGATTTGCATTCAACAAAGGAAACTGCTAGCTGGCAGCCTTCCGAATACTTACAATTCTGGCTCCTCCCTTTTGGAACGCCAGTTGTAATTGAGTTGCAAGCCGGAGAACCCGGCGTCGTAGTATGTGTCGAAGTTTTGCCGAAGAGCCCGGCTTGGGAATAAAGCAATTAAATTAACCGTGTTTGATAATTCGCTGCTACAAGCACGGTGAAAAATACAAATCCACTGAACTCCAGCACAAGAGACCTCGAACCTCCATTTTGTCTTCCATTCGCGCAGTGATACTTTTAGAGATTTCAGGAAGTACTGAAATAGAGTTTCAGACAGGGGAAGCTCAGAAATTTGGAAGCAAGACAGAGAGTAAGCTAAGGAAGAAGCAAGAAGAGTAGCTAAAACAAGGACTACGCCGCTTTGCGCGGCATGGTCCTCGCACGCTGCGTACGGTAGCGCCCGCGCGAAGGTGTGTGACTGCACTGCGCGGCGCTGGCCTCGCTAGACCCATGGTACAACGCCACTATTGAGCTCGGAAAAAAGTAGTTAGGGTGCAAATTTTGTCATTGCACTTTTGCTCCAATTATGTGCGCCCCATCTTGGATGTGACATTCGGAAGTTTAAAAAGAGACAGAGAAGTTGGACAAAACGTTAAGGCAAACAAAAGACATGCAGAACTGAATAGGACAGGACCAAGCAGGCACGCAGACTGGAGACATTTTTGTTGGAACAAGAACAGAATTGTCAGTGATCATATTCATTCAAAAAATCATAGAACTCTCCTAAACGCAGTGTACAAGGAAGATTTGGACTTTGATATTGGCTCTATAAATGCAAAAAATGGCAGAAAAATCATGGCAAAGCTTTGTGAAGAGATCAGCAAATGAACGAAAGACTCAGTAAGCATTAGCAAACAACTAAATAACAAAACTAGTATTACGTAAATTGACACGCCTATATAGGCACACTCAAAAGGTGGTATGTAGCCGGTAGGACTGATTAGTAGGGGGATCACATACGGGTAGAACTAGAAAAAAGGGGTCAAGTGAAGCGATTCAGAAACGAAAGCAAGTCCCAACAGAGGGGATGAGCAGAAACCGGATTTCCATCGAGCCTTGGCTCGCGCTAAATCAGCAAAGCGTTCATACCCGAAACGGGCTTTTCTGCCGCTGAAGTGTCTTTCTGCTCATGCGGAAATCCGCAGCTCGTCCATACTGTCGCTCCGCTGGTTTGGATCGCCCACGATGCTGCAGTTCAAGTCGACGTTTTCTCTCGACGTCCAGCTGCTCCCGCAGAAGCGCCAGCTGCGATTCCAACATCTTCCGTTTGTGCGCAGAGGTCTGATCCTTTTGTTCAATGACCATTTCAAGCTAAAACTGAGGAAATTAAGGACGGTTAACAGCCTTCACACAACCATCATCAAGCATTCCATCGTTATAAATCTGTCAATTACAGAGGAAATTTTTTAATGGAGAACATGTGAGCACAAGGCAACAAAACAGAGGTTTTATGATCAAACTAAGCTTCCTTCCATATTACATTGCAAGTTTGATTTGAGAAGGTTACGTCCGGGGAGAGGAGCAGTGGACGATAGAGGGGGTGAAAGGGACGCATAGAATGAAAATTTTGCGGCCAGTGCGCGGCGCGGTTTGACCTCTGCGTATCTGCCCATGTTTTCTACAGAAACGCTTCGAATTGCAAATTCGAGGTGATGAAATATGCAGTAACAGTGATACGACCACATGGTTTTACAATCGAGTAAATCTCTTAGTTAATGTGTGCAATACATTTCCCAGGATGGCGATTTGGCTTAGCCCGACCCTCCCCCCTCTCATGCGGTCATTCATGCTTCTTTGAAGCACGACTCTGCCCAAACAACGAAGGAAACTTAAGAAACGCAAGAAGGTCCATTTTTGTTCCCACAGAACCCTATCCTGAAAATTGTGCAATTACACATATTAGCAGGGATAAGTCTAACTGACATGATCATCATACTTAGAACAATGTATGATGAAATTCAAGCTAGCTATAATAGTTGGCTCAAGAAGAAAGAAAGAATATGACAGATGGTTACGCGTAAAAAATCATGATCGCAGAAAACAGAAGAATCAATGGCAAAAAATGAAAATAATTGAGATAGAAACACTACAAATACGCAAAGCTAACCTGTCCTTTTTCTACAGAAAGCTTTGAGATTCTAGATTGAATTCAGTTTGCTCCTTCATTGATTTAGTCATATTCCGATTAGGTAGTGATTCGGTTGAAACTATAATCGGAACTAAGTTCTCATAACACGATGTAACCAGCAGATTTACATAGAAACCACGCAGTGACTGATCGGAATTCACCTCGTGGACAGTGTTTCACTTGAGCCCCTTGCAGTGCAAAGTCCTTGAGGGAGATCCAACCTCCAATCATTCTTGATTGACCGCCCTCATCGCACCTCAATAAATTTACAGTTTAGTCTTCAGCCTTGCATTTTCCCATCAAATAAGCTTCCTTCTAGTGGCTTTTAAAATGATCTTTCATATTACTCTTTACGAAACCACACATTATTGTTTCAAAAGAAAACATGGTTTGCTTTTTAGAAAAGATGCTATTAGGTTGTAACAGAATTAATGCAGGTTTTTCGCGCACCTTTTTAAGAATGCTGGTTTAGAAAGGAAACGCGTTTTCTCAGAGAGTTTTGCATATCATTTGGAAGCTCTTTTCTTCTAATTTATTATGCATTCCTTTTTTTCAGTGATAACGAATTTATCTAGAAGTTCTGAGCCCATGAATTTGAGAAACCAAATCTCGAAATTCTTTCTTTCAATATACCTGACTCTAAAACCACCGAAAACAATCGAAATTCGCTGCAAATTTACATATTTTTGAGTGAGCTATTTACAAAATGCATGTTGAACCATGAATTCTGAGAACATCTAAGCCGAGAAATTTCAGAGCAAAGTTCGACGGTCGTTGTGGTCCGTCTGCTCTACATAAATCCTCAGAGCGAAGAGACTGCGGAGCTTCTGCTTTATATAGGAAGAATAGATTTTAGACATTTATGACTGAAAAAATCGGGAGCCGTTCTCCCCGATTTAACTTTGAAAAAACTCAAAAGTTTTTTTCAAATTCTCAAAAAGTCGAAAAATGAGTACTTTCAAAATTTTTTCCAAATATCCTCTCGCAAAGATCTCTTTCAATTCCGAATTTAGCGCTGCTGCACAACCGACCATAGGCTACACAGTGAGTTATATTTGCGTTACTATATTTGATAGTAAATTATGGTTTCTCAAATTGAAGTTTTCCAAATAAATTATTGATAGAATTTGGGCTGTACATTTTTCTCAGTGAAGCTACAACAAATCAATAATGCATACTGAGTTGAAAAAGGTTTGCTGATTACAACAATTTTTGTTGCACACGAAAAGACTACTTGTATAAAAAGTTATAGTGATCCAAACACAAAATTCAGAAAACCTGCACTAATTCTGTTACAACCTAATACTTTCATTACTCTAACTAATAACAAAACAATGTTTTAACTTGTTGGATACTTCTCAGTTTGGTTAATGAAACAATCATGGAGTAATCACGGTAGTCTTGCTTACTTGTTATTTCGTGCTTTTTGCGAGCGAATATATGGGAAGGTGGGCAATAGGAGATCATGCTTACCAAACGTAATTATTATTGAACAACAACACATTTCATGATTGTCTCTACCAAATAACTACCACTATAGAGTTTTTATCTAGGACTCCTACGGGAGCTCTGATAGCCAGCAGACCAAGCAAACCGTTTGCCAACTGAAACAATTTTTTTGTAGCTTTGTGGCTTGTCTTTTATAACTTTTAGAATGTCTTTTTTGAAGTGACCTCTTGTATTCTTACTAACTCGTAGCTTGAATAGTAAACAGTTCTGGAACCACACGCTGCTACTCTCTTCTTTCTAACAGTTGTCTTTTCTTGGCGAGGGAACGCGGGGGGGGGGGGGGAACTCGCGATATTTCTCAAGTTCACGCATGCGAAATGACGTCCCCTATGCTCGGGAATCTTCATATTTTGATGCGAAAAAAGCTCATTTACTTTGCGATAGTAATAATCGAATGTTGAAACTCAGTTTCTGAAGGTTTGCAGTGTTTGGCGCCATAACAGCTTATGCCATTCTCCAGAACTCAAGACTTTGAAAATTGTTCAGCAAAATTTTAATATTAGGTCGTTCCGAAAGTAATGTCGCTTTTTCCAAACTATGCTACATCTCGTGGAACAAAGATATGCAAGAGATTCTGACAGCACGATGCATCATGTTATTCTCTTTTTAATGGTTATATGACCATTGCACAAAATTCAATGACCTCTCCAAAATTACCAAAATCTGCGGCCCATGCTTTAAAGGCCAAGTTTTAAAATTTTTCTAAATTTTTTCAAGAACCCCGGAAGAAGTCCAATTAATGAATGGATAGAGCAAACCCTACAGAAAACAGCACAACTTTTTCCTGCTTTCCAGAACTCGTCATAATTTTTGTATAGATTTTTTGATGGAACCACCGAATTAGCAGGCTCGTCTCAGACACAAATGCATCAAACGTCAATAAATCTTCGGATTTTGAAAACTACAAAGATGGTTAATGGTGTGACACTAATATTACAAACCAAGTGAGCATTCATCGCTCCAGATTAGCAACTTTCGAAAATTCTGGGTACAGGGGCGCCCTGGAAAACCTGAATTATGATGATTTTATCCAGGAAAGCTTCATGAATCGGAAGCAAAAAACAACTGGTAGAAAGAGGAGAAAAAGCTGCGTCGAATGACACCCGAGTTGCTTGCCGGCTGTTGTTCTGTGAGGTTTGAGTTGACCTAATATGGGATTTAATAGCAAAATTGATTCCAGAACCTCTAAGAAGCAAGCTAAAGAAAGAAACATTACACTGTGTCCCATAGGGTTTGCTCTATCTATCTGTCACTTGCACTTCTTCGGTGAATAGGTACAAAAATTTAGAAAAATGACTTGACCATGGCAAAAAGCATGATTCGCAGATTTTGGTAATTTTTCGAGGGCTATTTGAATATTATGCAATGAAATTAAATCTATTAGAAAGAGTATGAAATACTGCATGGAACACTTTTAAGACCTATCGAACTTGATTCCATGAAATGGGCGTTCATTCAAAAAAAGCTACATCACTTTCGGAACGACCTAATGGTAGCTGAAAAATAGGAAAAATTGCTTCAGTTGACAAAAGCTTACCCAATCTGCTGGTTATAAGAGTCAGTCAAAAGCCACAAACAAATTTTTTTCAGAATCATCGAAATTTTGACGTGGTGAAAACAAACAGTTGTAATTTTCAGCGATTATCTCAGCCCTTATACTAGCTAAAAAGAAGAAGAAATCCCGCATCAAATATTGTTTGAAAGTTCATCATTATTCTAACGTAACTGCAGGTGGATCCAAAATGAATGATACTTCTGAACCTAACTAATAGTTCTCGTTTTGATTTAAAATAGAGTGCTTACAATTACCGTGGTGCTTCACCCCTATGGATATAGCAGCTGGACTTGGTCGTGCAGATTTATAATAGAGCTCAAAATCTTTCCAAAGTTAAGGTTGTTCCGTCGTCCCTTTACTTGGGTTCTAGCTCAAATTTGCAAATATCAATAATTGCATATTCTTCAAACGATACTATCGTAATCAACAGTTACAATCTCCTCTATACTAACTAGCTCTTTGCAGAAAAAAGCAGAGGATCGATATGATCAGTAAAGGGAGGTAGCTTACGACCCTGGCTCAACCCGATTGCAGTCCCCCCCCCCCCCCCAACCCATCCTCCTCCCTCAACCCCATTCTCAAGGGAATGAGCCGCGAACGTTGATAGTTGCCTCCTTGAGTCATGAAATATCGCAAAAAAAACTTACTCTTACTTGATAATTGAAATAATATTTAAAGTTCTTAGAAACTCGGATGACCCTGTAGAAAAACCCAGGACGGGACCCCAAAAATGATCTCGAATGGGCAGTTTGATGGCACGACTGATTAAGAATTTTCCATTTATAGCTGGGCATGATACAGAGCTAGAGATATTCGGATGTATTTGATTGTTTTGAGTTTTGCAATATTCAGCAAGAATGCCGGATTTTTACAGATCTACGACAAAATCACTAAGCAACTCTATCTTGTATGTAAATAAAGACCAGCGTTTGCCAGCAAATCAGAAAAAAGACATGGCTTGATACTGGACTAGCGCGAGAGCTCTAGCGTAATTCAAATAAAAAATTTTTTCATTTCAAGCTTCAGTTCATGCTCTTTTTTTACAAAATTAAGCGAGGGGAGACGCTT